CCAGAGTATACAAAGAACTCAAAAAATTAGACAATAAGAGAACAAACAACCCAATCAACAAATGGGCTAAGGACCTGAACAGACACTTCTCAGAGGAGGACATACAGTCAATCAACAAGTACATGAAAAAATGCTCAACATCTCTAGCTGTCAGAGAAATGCAAATCAAAACCACCCTAAGATACCATCTCACTCCAGTAAGATTGGCAGCCATTATGAAGTCAAACAACAACAAGTGCTGGCGAGGATGTGGGGAAAAGGGTACACTTGTACATTGCTGGTGGGACTGCAGATTGGTGCAGCCAATTTGGAAAGCAGTATGGAGATTTCTTGGAAAGCTGGGAATGGAGCCACCATTTGACCCAGCTATTCCCCTTCTTGGTCTATTCCCTAAAGACCTAAAAAGAGCATGCTACAGGGACACTGCTACATCAATGTTCATAGCAGCACAGTTCACAATAGCAAGACTGTGGAACCAACCTAGATGCCCTTCAATAGATGAATGGATAAAAAAAATGTGGCATTTATACACAATGGAGTATTACTCTGCATTAAAAAATGACAAAATCATAGAATTTACAGGGAAATGGATGGCATTAGAGCAGATTATGCTAAGTGAAGCTAGCCAATCCCTAAAAAACAAATGCCAAATGTCTTCTTTGATATAAGGAAAGTAACTAAGAACAGAGTAGGGACGAAGAACAGGAGAAGAAGATTAACATTTAATAGGGATGAGAGGTGGGAGGGAAAGGTAGAGAGAAGGGAAATTGCACGGTAATGGAAGGAGACCCTCAGGGTTATACAGTGGAGGGGGTAGAGAGAGAGGAGGGGAGGGGAGGGGAGAGGTGGGGAGGGGGGAGGGTGGATGATGGGAAAGGCAGCGGAGCACAACAGACACTAGTATGGCAATTTGTAAATCAATGGATGTGTAACTGATGTGAATCTGCAATCTGTGTATGGGGTGAAGGTGGGAGTTCATAACCCACTTGAATCAAAGTGTGGAATATGATATGTCAAGAAATTTGTAATGTTTTGAACAACCCACAATAAAAAATTTAAAAAAAAAAATAAAAAAAATAAAAAAAAAAGAATTAAAAACAAAAATGTAATATTCTAATCAAACATCCTAGTCCTCAAAATACTGATCCATAACAAACAACTGGCTTCAAAAATGCTAGAAATACAAATTTTTGAAAAATTTTTAAATGCTAGAAATAAGCAAAAACAAATATGAATATATATAAGTGCCCATGAATCATTCAGGTTAAAGTTAAATAGAGAAAAGAAAAAATAAAATAAAATTTAAAGAAAATCTCAATGAAAAAGAATTGTTGCCTTTGGAGTTCAAATGATTGTCAGCTTCCCTTCTCAGCAGTATTAGGTGGTGTGGCCTGGAGTGTGATGCCTATTCCAACCTCAGGGTAGAGTTGCTGGAGTGTAAGAGGAAATCCCATAGGCAGAACTTCTGGAGGTGGGGTTTAGGTTTAGGTATTCTCTAGGTTCTTCATTGAATTGCGATTGATCTAAATATTTTAAATCAGCACACCTCCAGGGCCCAGCAATTGCCAGACCATACTGGAAAACTGGACCCCAAGAATCACCCATGGGTTCCATTTGTGTGGTGAAAGAGTCAATTCTTAGTCCCTTCTGACACCTGTGGACCCTACATTCTCTTGTCTCTTAGGTTCAGTCTCCAAACTCAATCTTTCCCACCCCCACCCATTTTAATTCCCAGCCAAGCGCATCTTTCCCGATGGGAATTGCAAGTAGCTGGATTGGGAGAGGGGAGAAGCTGGGTAAGGTTTCCATGACAAGTATTCATTTCTCTGGGTAAACCCTTCTCCATGATTGATTTTCTCCTTGTCATTTAGGCACACTCCATGTTGTGCCATTTGAGTTTGACAGGCCTATATTGTGGGCCAAAATCAGGTTTGCCAGAAATAAGCTCCCCCAGCTGCTAGTCCTCATCCCATGGCTGCAAATTGGTTTCTCCCTCTGTCCTCCACAGGTAGCTTGAAAGATATTTGGCTTCTTTCCCTCCCAAGGATATTGTGAGACACTCCTTTTAGTTCTGATCTCTCCATACCCAGACATGCCTCAGGCCTCCTAAAAATGTTGGGTTCCTTTAATTCCCTTATTCTTCCACTTTGCTCACAGAGGGACCACTCTAGCTGGTGCCTCCAGTCGCAGCAGTGGTGGCTCTGAAGATTTTATTTTATTTTATTATATCCAATGTCCTGAGTCCTCAGTATGCTTTGAATGTCTAGTATTAAATCCCAGTAAAGTCCCCATACACACCTTTTATTTTTCACCCACCTTGCTGAGAAGCTGCCTATCTGCCTTCTTAGTTTCACACCGTGGAGCAGCCAGGAAAGTGACCTTCTCTATTCTGCTATCCCCAGTGAGTACTTTATTGAAGATATACTAAAATTACCCTACTTGTTGGAGAGGGAGTAAATTTTCAAGATAGGTGGGGGGGGGTGAGAGAGGAAGTATTTTATTTATGAAAAACTGTAGCAGATTTTGATTAAAGTAAATGGTGATCTTATAAACTGAGAAGGGATGGAGATATATATATATATATATATATATCCATGAATCATGAATATATATAAGTGCCCATGAATCATTCAGGTCACAGTTAAATAGAGAAAAGAAAAATAAAGAAAATCTCAATGAAAAAGAATTGTTGCCTTTGGAGTTCAAATGATTTGTCAGCTTCCCTTCTCAGCAGTATTAGGTGGTGTGGCCTGGAGTGTGATTGCCTGTTCTACCCTCAGGGTAGAGTTGCTGGAGTGTAAGAGGAAATCCCATAGGATAAGTCTTTTGAATCCTTACCAGCTGGGCTGGGCACTTCTCTGATATATAGACTAGTTGAACAAGATGAGAGACTATGTGCATGTCAGACAAAAAGATTTGGGTATGCTGCTGCCAGCACCTCTCATTTTTTTATTTCATGCCATGTTGCTAAGTCACAAGTGATCATTTTAAAAAATACTCTCTCAAGCATTGTGACACAAATCTGTACTCCCAGCAACTCAGGAGGCTGAGGCAGGAGGATTGCAAGTTCAAAGCCACCCTCAGCAACTTAGCAAGGTCCTAAACAACTTAGCAAGACCCTGTCTCAAAATAAAAAGGTCGGGGTAATGGCTCAGTGGTAAAATGCCCCTGGATTCAATTCCTGGAACAAAAATAAATTAATTAATTAAATAAAAATAAAAAGATAGATACTTTTCTCTTCCTTTGTTCAGAAGGAATTCTGTAAGCAGAAAGTATTCTTAGAATCTTGGGTTGTGAAAACCTTACATTTAAACATTCCTCTCAGACCTCTGAGTACATGAAGCTTATTTATAGGGCTAAAAAGCCCAAAACAACTACTGATTGAGTATCAGAATTAATCTAGTGACTGAGCTCCTTTATCTCTAAGAGGATACCATACCACTGTTTGGAAACCTACAGTGCTTCATACTGCTAGATGACACATTCTATTAATCTTATTGGTGTTTCCTTCTGGAAATGGCCATGCTGGACTGGACACTTCTGAGGAACTAATGAAAGATCCTGTGAATTTTTCTTGATGATTGGAAAATTTCTGCAATTTGTAGACCCATACCTCTAATTAGCAGAGGGAAAGGTAGAACAAGAGAATACCCTCTGAGTGTCAAATGCAATCTTCAATGATTATTTTTTTATCTTTGTTTTAGTTATTTATTTTACATGGTACTGAAGATCAAACCCAGTGCCTCATGCATGCAAGTGCTCAACCACTAAGCTACAACCCCAGTCCCCAATGATTATTTTAATGTCATTCCAAGTATTTCATCCAAGTATCTGCATTAGGATGAATTCATAGTTTCTGTTCTAAGCTCTGTTACAAGTTGCTGTGTAATAACAACTCTTTTTGAGTTATCCATTAGAGAGTTAAAACACTAAAACATCAGAACTTAATAGGGTTATTTCTCTGGTCTCTCTTTTGTCTTACTCCTAAAGTCTCTTGGAAGGAATTTTTTATTCTTACATTTTTAGGCATCCAACCATATCTTCTAATCTTTCCTTCTCCTTGACCACAGGGACTTAATAGTGAACGTTTCAAACCCACCACTCTTCCAAGCTTGTTATGTTCTAGTCTGGTTGTAAACAGCTACAAGTACATTATATCCACATCGCCTGAATTTAATAGGACATTCCTATAGTGCCAGTTTAATGACAGTTGGATGGTAAATAAAGTCAAAGTTTCTAACAGTAGTTCTTGTTGAGAAGAACTGTTTTTTTCATCAAGAACTTTTCTCTGAGGTCCATGTGTGTGCATGTGTGTTGTGTTGTATGTGAGGGGAGCTAGAAAAGAAAGAACTTGTCACTTAAAAAGAGGATGTTTTGTCATTTAAAAAATATTTTTGCAGGGCATGGTGGCACACATCTGTAATCCCAGCTATCTCTGAGGCTGAGGCAGGAGGATTGCAAGTTCAAGGCCAGCCTCAGGAACTTAGTGAGGCCCTAAGCAATTTAGCAAGATCCTGTCTCAAAATTAAAAAATAAATAAATAATAATAAAGACCAGGGATGTAGTTTAGTGGTAAAGTACCCCTGGGTTCAATCCCCAGTACTAAAAAATAAAAATAAAAAATATCTGTAATGTGGGAAGGTATCTCAGTGGTAAAATGTATGCTTGGCATGTATAATGCCCTGTATTCCACCCCAGCACCACAAAAAAAAAAAAAAATAGAGAGATATACCTACATACGCACATACATGCAAAGACACACACACACAAGCACATACACGTATATGTATTTGTAAAGATTCAGTTTTAGAGTTTCTTCCCTTTCCCCAAGTGTGAATCTTCTACACCTATATAAAGAGCCTTGTCAAATGTAATAATACATATATTCATTTCTTTAAGAACATGAGAAATTCTTTTCCCTTCACTTATTGTTATACATTGAGACATCAGACCAAATACTAAAATACTGGGAAGCCATAAATCCTGTCCTTCTGTTGCAGGTGCAACAATGAGAGTGAATGGGCCCAGATCCATGAGAACATCATCCGAAAGTCCAGCGCCAAGTACTCTGCCCCCAGCGCCAGCCATGGTGATGTATTACTCTGGCTAGAATACGTGTTATGTTGTATTTGCTAATCCATACAGCACTTCAGTTGGTGTTGATTGGTTGCTATGTATTTAATTCTCTAAAGATGATTTTTTTCCTTTTGTAGGTACTTTCTACTAATTCTTTTGTAATAACTTTAGGCCTTCCCTAATATTTGCTGCCCAAACTACATTTTCTGTTCTTTCTATGATGGATTTTGTGTGCTTTGATAGGTAACTAAAGTTCCAGTTTAAATCTAGAGTGGAAAATGTGTTTCAGGGTTGTCACAGAGCAAATTCTTTGTTTTTCTGAACAAAACTTACCCCAGCCATAAAAAAGGAGAGTAGGACAAATATTAATATCAATCCTCTATTACTGTTCAGTGTTAACATCACCAAAAATGTTTTACACTAATGAGAAACAATCAGTCATTCTGGAACTATAATAGAAAATCTTTACTTCAAAGCAGTTTTTATCTTAGCTTAACCTCTTCTTTTCATTTTTCCTCCTTTTATTTTAGAGCTCTATTTAAATAATTTCTATCTAAAGCTTGGTGAAATTCTGTACATTAGATTACGTTTTATAATTTGAGCATTAATTTCTTGATTAAATTAGAAGCACTAACTAAAATCTGAATTTTTATATACCCTTGCAGATAGTTATCAAATTTATATAGAACCATGTTTCTCCTTATAATTTTGATCTCCAAATAATTTTCATAACCTTTCATAAGTTTTTGCATAACTTCCTTTCTTTAAACTTTCATAGACCTTGCTGGAAATTAAAAATTGGCCTTAAATGACAGTAGAAGGAGAGTATTTATTGACAAGAACTTTAGTTTTTCTATCAGGTTCAACAGATACCCAAATAGGAGGGTTCATTGAGAAGAATCCACACCAGAGACTGCAAAGATTGAAAATTTTCAGCTAGGACCACTTGATTCCTCTAAAACTGTAGAGTGAGGGCCCAGAGATTCTCTCTAATAGAGCCTCCCTGTTTTTAAATGACAGTTTCCCCATATGTGTGTGCCTAAATATGAAATGAGGTTAAAGCAAGAAACAAGTAATATTAAATATTAAAAATATCATTTTAAAATAAAAGAAAGTCCTGGGCATGTAGTTCAGTGGTAGAATGCTTGCTTAGTATGCACAAGGCCCTGAGTTTAATTCCTAGCACCACAAAAATAAATAAAATATTAATAAATAGGGGAAACAAAGAAAGCTACCAGCAATTTAGAAAAATATCACAGCAATATTTCACAGCAGTATTTCACAGCAATATTTGTTATATTCTTTGTTTCATTTGATTGATAAAGAGGTACCTCTGTAAGTTCTTAGGGCTTGATATGGTTAAAAACATGGAGAATATAAAAGAGACACAGTGGTAGTAAGGCACTTAAAAAAAAATACTGAAAGAGCAGTTTCCACTGTTACCACACCAGGTTAGGATAATGAGTTGTGTCACATTCCCCAAAGTGAGCCGGGACTAGGCAGTCTTCAGTCTATGAGGTTAAAGCAAGAAACAAGTAATATTAAATATTTAAAATATTATTTTAAAATAAAGGAAAGTCCTGGGCATGTAGTTCAGATTTTTGTCCAGAATTCAAGGTATTGGCCTTTTAAATAGTGTTAGAACACACTCATTTCTCCATGCTGGGAAGTTGTTTCCACAGTCTACAGAGAGACTACGGAGAGCCTTGGTTAGGATAACCCTACTGTGAAGAAGTCCCTGTGATATTATGGAAGTGAGGAGGAGAAATAGACTACATCTTTTTGTATGTGTTGGAAGCTGTTTAAGAACTTGGAATTAGGTGTTTAACCCCCTTGTTAATAAGAAATTCGAAGTTCAGTGAAATAACTTGGTGGCTGAACCAGGGCAGAGCCCAGGTGTCTAATGTATTTCCAAGCTTCTCAATGTGGGTTTTCCACTGTTGGACTCTGGGATTTTCATGCCAGAGAGTTTTCATAGATTGCTCAAAAAATAATTCAGGTCTCTTATAAACATGCATCTTTATAAAAATAATTAATTTACTTTGTTATATACTGTCATCCATTTTGTTGTTTTTAGTTTTGGTTTTTGAGACTGGACCTCACTATGTTGCTCAGGCTGGTCTCAAACTTATGGGCTTAAATGATTTCCTTCCTCAATTTCCTGAGTAGCTAGGACTGTGGGCATACATAACTGTTTGTTAAACATAGGCAGTTTACTCTCTTGGTATGTCTGTTTCAGAAGTCCTATTGCTTTCCCTTCAAGCCAAATCACCTAAAAATGCAGAAAGAATTGCTACATTGGTTTTGAGTGCTTAGAGTAAATGTATTGTTAAGCAATAATTTACATAAGTGCAGCTCTGATATATGTGGCTTTTCATTTCCATTGTTTGCCTATTTGATGTGTATCCACAGACTGAACTTTTCACAATCCAGTAGCATGAAAGTCATTAAGGAAAAGTGAAAATAAATAAAGCAGTTGGCACACTGCTTTCTATTTATTCTTAAATTACTACTATTTATTTTTAAATTACTACTAACTAGCTTCATTTATATGTCTTGGACTGAGATTAATTTATGCAATTCTCATTCAACAAGAGGCGCCAGGAAGGTGGGGTGCGGGGACAAAGCAAAGTTGCTTCCACACAAAAATAAGTTTGTCCAGTTACTTTTTATTGGCCAATTTTAACAACAGATAAAATTCAGTAAATGGCTTTCTTATGTCAGGTAATTAGAGGGATCCAATTGAGAGAGAAATTGGATAACCTTAACTTAATTTCAAGTTCTTATATTTTAGATCCCAACTGAGATGATGGATAGGTAGAATATCAAGTGTTACCAAGGGACTGGTTACATACTGGGTAGGTGAGTGGATCACTTTTCTGAGCTCTTCATGGACACTCTCTTGCATTGAGGACCATGCCCTAGCATTATTTGGCATGTACCTCAATCAACCAGGGGTTCAGAACCAGGAAGAAAATCCAAAAGTTTCAGGATAAAAGTCCTTATGAAACGGGATACAGTTTTTATAGCCTCCATCTTTTTGGTTTCTTTCATTCTTTCTATGCCTCTGCATCTGAACTCTTGCACAAACGGAGACTTTCTCTTATTTTTTAGACATTTATTTTTTTATTTTTTTATTTTTAATTTTTTATTGTTGGCTGTTCAAAACATTACATAGTTCTTGATATATCATATTTCACAATTTGATTCAAGTGGGTTTTGAGCTCCCATTTTTACCCCATATACAGATTGCAGAATCACATCAGTTACACATACATTGATTTACATATTGCCATACTAGTGTCTGTTGTATTCTGCTGCCTTTCCTATCCTCTACTATCCCCCCTCCCCTCCCCTCCCCTCCCCTCTTCTCTCTCTGCTCCCTCTACTGACATTCGTTTGTCCCCCTTATATTATTTTTCCCCTTCCCCTCACTTCCTCTTGTATGTACTTTTGTATAACTCTGAGGGTCTCCTTCCATTTCCATGCATTTTCCCTTCTCTCTCCCTTTCCCTCCCACCACTCATCCCTGTTTAATGTTAATCTTCTTCTCATGCTCTTCAACCCTACTCTGTTCTTAGTTACTCTCCTTATATCAAAGAAGACATTTGGCATTTGTTTTTTAGGGATTGGCTAGCTTCAGTTAGCATAATCTGCTCTAATGCCATCCATTTCCCTGTAAATTCTATGATTTTGTCATTTTTTAATGCAGAGTAATACTCCATTGTGTATAAATGCCACATTTTTTTTATCCATTCATCCATTGAAGGGCATCTAGGTTGGTTCCACAGTCTAGCTATTGTGAATTGTGCTGCTATGAACATCGATGTAGCAGTGTCCCTGTAGCATGCTCTTTTTAGGTCTTTAGGGAATAGACCGAGAAGGGGAAGAGCTGGGTCAAATGGTGGCTCCATTCCCAGCTTTCCAAGAAATCTCCATACTGCTTTCCAAATTGGCTGCACCAATTTGCAGTCCCACCAGCAATGTACAAGTGTACCCTTTTCCCCACATCCTCGCCAGCACTTGTTGTTGTTTGACTTCATAATGGCTGCCAATCTAACTGGAGTGAGATGGTATCTTAGGGTGGTTTTGATTTGCATTTCTCTGACTGCTAGAGATGGTGAGCATTTTTTCATGTACTTGTTGATTGATTGTATGTCCTCCTCTGAGAAGTGTCTGTTCAGGTCCTTGGCCCATTTGTTGATTGGGTTGTTTGTTCTCTTATTGTCTAATTTTTTGAGTTCATTGTATACTCTGGATATTAGGGCTCTATCTGAAGTGTGAGGAGTAAAGATTTGTTCCCAGGATGTAGGCGCTCTATTTACCTCTCTTATTGTATCTTTTGCTGAGAAAAAACTTTTTAGTTTGAGTAAGTCCCATTTGTTGATTCTAGTTATTAACTTTTGTGCTATGGGTGTCCTATTGAGGAATTTGGAGCCCGACCCCACAGTATGTAGATCGTAGCCAACTTTTTCTTCTCTCAGACGGCGTGTCTCTGATTTGATATCAAGCTCCTTGATCCATTTTGAATTCACTTTTGTGCATGGCGAGAGAAAGGGATTCAGTTTCATTTTGTTGCATATGGATTTCCAGTTTTCCCAGCACCATTTGTTGAAGATGCTATCCTTCCTCCATTGCATGCTTTTAGCCCCTTTATCAAATATAAGGTAGTTGTAGTTTTGTGGATTGGTTTCTGTGTCCTCTATTCTGTACCATTGGTCCACCCGCCTGTTTTGGTACCAGTACCATGCTGTTTTTGTTACTATTGCTCTGTAGTATAGTTTGAAGTCTGGTATCGCTATACCGCCTGATTCACACTTCCTGCTTAGCATTGTTTTTGCTATTCTGGGTCTTTTGTTTTTCCATATGAATTTCATGATTGCTTTCTCTATTTCTACAAGAAATGCCGTTGGGATTTTGATTGGCATTGCATTAAACCTATAGAGAACTTTTGGTAATATCGCCATTTTGATGATGTTAGTTCTGCCTATCCATGAACAGGGTATATTTTTC